TAAGAAAGCAAAACCCCACAATCTGTCTCTTACAAGAAACACATTTAAAAGACAAAAAAAAAAAAAATACACAGAATAAAACTGAGGGACTGGAAGAAAAAATTATTGTGTGTCAAGTGAATCCAAAAAAGCAGGAGTTGCAGTCATGCTATCTGACAAAGCAAAAATCAACATTCAAAAATTAAAAACAGGGGAACTACATTATGCTGAAAGGAATAATAGACAATAATTCAGTGTCAGTATTAAATATATATGCTGTGAATGCTTCAGCATCCAAATTCATAAAGGAAATTGAGCTATAAAAAGACAGACAGTAAAACAATAATGACAGGAGATTTCATTGTCCCTCTCTCAGTTTCACATAAGTCTAACAAAAAAGATAATGGGTAAATATGATCTGAAGAAATTGCTAGAGAAACTAGACCTAAAAGATTTATGTCATCTTCTAAAGGGGACTGCAAGAGAATACATATATGTCTTTCTCAGCACCACTTGGAAGTCTTATAAAAATTGACCACGTATTAGGGCACAGAGATGTTGCAAACAAACATAAAGAGACAGCAGAAGTAATGAGTCTGTCCTTTCCAGACCAGAACAAGATAATTCAAATGGGAACTTAACCATGAAATCTTAAATTGGGGTGGGGAACCTGCAGCCTCTAGGCCATATGTGACCTTCTAAGTCCTTGGGTGTGGCCTTTTGACTGAGTCCAAGATTTATGGAACAAATCCTTTTATTAAGGGGTTTTGTACTGTGAAATTCCCTTCCTTGGTAGAGGACCACATGTGGCCTTGAGGCAGGTTCTCCACCCCTGTCCTAAATAATGAGTGAGTCAAAGAGCAAATCATAGAAACAATTATTATGTGAAAAAATGATAATGATGAAAAAATGCCAAAATTTCTGGGATGCAGCCAAAGCATTCCTCAGGGTGGTAAATCACATCCTTACATATATTAACAAAACAGAAAGAGAGATTAAAGAACTGAATATGTATTTTTTAATTTTTTTCTTTTGTTTTTTCTTATTTTTATTTTTTATTTTTGGCTAGGTAATGGGGTTAAGTGACTTGCCCAGGGTCACACAGCTAGTAAGTGTTATGTGTCTGAGGCCTGATTTGAACTCAGGTCCTTCTGAATCCAGAGCCGGTGCTCTATCCATTGCGCCACCTAGCTGCCCCCTGAATATGTATTTTTTAAAAAATTAGAAATACAACAAATAAACCTAAAATAAGCATGTAAGAGGAGATATTAAAAATTAGAAGAGAAATAAACTAGAAACCAATAAAACCATAGAAATAAACAAAACTAAAAACTGGTTCTTGGAGAAGACTAATAAGTTGATAAACGTTTAGCTAATCTGATTTTTTAAAAAAGGGAAGAAAATCAAATCAATAAAATATCAAATTAGTAAGGTAAAATCACAACAAAACCAGAACATTTTTTTAAAAAAAGAATAATCAGAACATATTATACACAGTTATATGCTAACAACTGACAACACAAAAAAATATGGGAATGCCTTCAAAAATATAAAATACCCAACCTCTTAGAAAACCAGATAGAGCTCCTAAATAGTCCAAACTCAGAAAAGAAAATAGAACTAGGTATAATGGAACTACCAAATGAAAAACTCCTAATCCTGATGATGGATTTGCAGGAGAATTCTAGTTTTAAAACAATTAGTGCCCATAATACACAAATTATTTATTTATTTATTTATTTTTTAAATTGAGCATGAAAGCATCCTACCAGACTCCTTTTATGAGATAAATGTAGTCCTAATACCTAAACCAGGGAAGGATAAAACACAGAAAGAAAACTATAGATCATCATTAATGAAGAATTAATAATTTTAAGCAAAATCTTTTCAAACAAACTATAGCAATTTATCCAAGAAATCATTCATTGTGACCAAATGGGGCTTCTATCAGGATGGTTCAACATTAGGAAAATAATCATCATAATCATAATAAAAACTAAACATCTCAGACCACATTGTTGAGGTTTAGAGGTTTAGGGGTGCTGGGGCCCCAAAATAGCAACACACGGTCCTGCCAAATGAATTTGACCTCAGCCTTCTTTCAGCCAAAGATAGAGTTTATTAAAGATCAATTGAGTGTGGTCGGGATTTTAAGAATCTTCCGTACTGGCCAGCTTTTCTTTTTTGGGATCCAGATCCCAAAGACATGGTCTTTTCCTTTTAGGGGTTCAACATGATTATCTCAATAAATGTAGAAAAAGCCTTTGACAAAGTACAATATGAATTTATGCATGTACTGAGAAAGGCATACGTGTTGTCTAGCAGTCCCTTTTACAAAATGATATGTCTTTTAGGTCTAGTTTCTCCAGCATTTTCTTCAGATCATATTTTCCCATTATCTTTTCATTAGACTTATGCAAGTGTAGGCATAGAAGGGTCTATTTTAATATCATGAAAAGCATTTATTCAAAGTCTAAAGCAAGCATCAAATGAATGGGTATACTAGAATCTTTTTTCATTGAAATATAGGAATGAAGCAAGATGCCCACTCTCCCCACTATTAAATTCTAGCAACAGTAGTTAGACAAGTGAAAGAAATTAAAGGCATAAAGATAGATAAAGAGGAGATAAAATTATTCATATTTGCTGATGATATAATGGCATACTTGGAAAATCCTAGGAGATTAGCAAAAATGTTCATCAAGACAATAGCTTCAGCAAAGTTGCAGTCTACAAAATAAACCTTCAAAATCAACAGTATTACTTATAATAAGATCCGTGGAGCAATAATAGAAAGGGAAATTCCATTGCAGATAACTACCAAATGCATAAAGTATCCAGGGATCAATCCATCAAAGCACACAAAGACTTGTATAGATTTGATTACAAAGTCCTTTTCAAAGAATCTTCAGTGTTTATGGCTGGGCCATACTAGTGTAATAAAACACGATTTCTACCAAGGTTAATTTACACTTTTAATGTTATACCAAATCAAATTGAGAAACTTGATAGAATAATAACAAAATTCATTTGGATAAACAGAAGATCTAGAATATCAAGAGAAATGTTGAAAAGAAATAGGGATAAAGGGGGAATAGCACTTCCTCACACTATAATGTAAAGCAGCAATTATCAAAAACAATTATCAAAATCAAATCAAAATTATATGGTAAAATATATAAAGGCAGATCAATGGGAACAGATTAGATAACGGAGAATCAAGTAGGATTTAACTTGGTACTCTTGTGTTTGATAAACTGGAACACATAAATTACTTCAAAAAGAGTTCCCTGTTTAATAAAAACTGCTGGGAAAACTGAAAAGCAATCTGGCAGAAATTAAGCTTAAGCCAACACCAATACGTTCTGAGTGGTTATGAGAACATAATATTAAATATCATAATATTTTTTTAAAAAGAAGAGAAAAATGGCTTCTCACAGCCATGGCTAGGGTCATTTGTTTAACCAAACAAGAGATAGAGGCAATTACAAAAAATAAAATAGATAACTTTGATTAGGTGAAACAAAAACTTCTGCGCTAACAAAATTAATGCACCTAGAATAAGAAGAGAATTGGTTAAATGAGGGGGAGGGAATCTTTGTACCAAATTTCTTTCAGGGTTAGGTATCCAAGATATATGAACAATTAACAAATATTTAAGACTAATAGCCATTCCCTAATAGATAAATGGTCAAAGCATATGTAGGAAAAGTTCTCAAAAGAATTGCAGATTGTTGTATTAACAACTATTGGAAACAATATTCCATATCATGAATGATAAGAGAAATGCAAATCAAAACAACCCTGAGGTTTCACCTTACATCCTGCAAATCGACAAAGATGACAAAAAATGGCAGTAGTCAATTTTGGTGGGCTTGTGGAATTATTGAAATACTAATGCCTGGTTGGCGGAGCTGTGAATTGATACGATCATTTCAGAATGCAATTTGGAATTATGTAAAGTAATTAAAATGTCCATATACTTTGGCCTAGAGATTCTGTTACTGAGCTTATACCCTGAGGAAGCTATTGATAGGAAAAAAGTCTCCATATACACCAAAGTATTTATTGTAGCACTTTTTGTGATAACAAAGAATTGGAAACAAAGTAGATGCCCATTGATTGAGGAATGGATAAACATATTGTAGCACATGAATGTAAATGGAAAATGTGCTGGAAGAAATTATTAATGTGATGAATACAGAGAAGAATGGAAATATCTACATGAACTGATGAAGAGTGAAGTAAGCAGAGCCAAGAAAATAATATACACAATCACTACAACAATTTAAACGGATAAGACAACCACGTACCAAAAAACAAATGTAACAATGTAACAGTGTAACAAAACAAATGTAGCAAAATTATAAAGATCACATATGACTTGAATAAAGAAATATGAGAGGACATCCCCAACTCATCCCTTCATGGAAGTGAGAAGCTCAGAGATGTTGCGTGTTGTACATGTTTTCAGATTTTTTCCATATATTGATTGGTTATGCTGGATTTTTCCTCTTTTCCTTTTTTTTTCTTTATAAAATATTGTTTGCTGTATAGGATGGTCCTTAGGGAGAGGGATACTAGAGAAAATTATGATGATGTAAATAATAAAAGACCAATAAGAACTCATTTCTTTAAAAAAAAATGGAGAATACTTATGCTTTGGGATAGGTATTGATTTAGTACCATACCGGTGATAAAAAATGTGGATTCTTTTATAGTCATGTGCTGTGGGCTTCCTTTTTACCTAAGAACATCAGGATGTCATTGATTCCAAGTGACCTGGATTTTGAACTCGTGATGTTGTTATTCATGATTAAATTTTTACCTTAGGTTCCAGTGATGGCTGAACGCCATGAGGCTCTAATTAACCCATTAAAATAAGATCTTAAGTGTGGAGATGTGGTTTTTTTAATTTATGCAGCAAAAAAAATTAATAATAAAAATAATTTATGCAGCAGTTTACAGTTGATTTTAGAAGACAGAACACTACAAAGCTTAATAAATTCGTGTGTATTTAGTTGCAGAATGGCTTCGTTTATTACCATTCCTGGGTGTACTTGCACTGCTAGGCTACCTTGCAGTTCGTCCATTCCTCCCCAAGAAGAAACAACAGAAAGATAGCCTGATTAATCTCAAGATTCAGAAAGAAAATCCAAAAGTAGTGAATGAAATAAACATTGAAGATTTGTGTCTTACTAAAGCTGCTTACTGCAGGTGTTGGCGTTCTAAGACGGTAAGATGCCTACTTAAATATAAACATAAAAATTCTTTGCAGTTGTGGCATTTTTACTTCCCTCAATCACAGTTTAGATTCCTTCCCCAGGTTGGAAGATTTCTTGTGATGTTTTAAAATTTCTGTATTTCTCAATATGTATGTATTTGTGTTTTAGAGATAGGTGTACTCTTGAAAGGGCCGTTTTCAGTGAAAATTTGCGTAAATTGTTCAGAATCAAAATTTAAACTGGTTTATCTTAGGGTATCTATAATAACATTTCCCCTAACTTTAAAGTATTTCAACTTTTAAAATTAAAAAAAAAAAAGGAAAATGGTTTGTTTGAAGTCATCAGTATTACTTCCTGTTGACAGTCTTTCATCATGCTCTTTTGTTATTTGGACAGTGACTGTCAGTTGGTCTTAATAAATTGGTCATAATAATATAATAGTATTAATAATAAGTTAGCTTAATAAATGCCTTGGGATTGATCAGACTGCAATGCGAATATACTCAGAGGTAGTTTTTAATTTCAAGCTGCAGCATGAAATGGTTAGGCATTTGCGCTGACTTTCTGTGTCTTTGGCTGATGTGAACTTTCTAAAATCTAATACAAGATGTAACAAACAATGGCTTAATTGTTCAACTACTTGGTTTGAGATTTGAAAAAGGAAAGAAGGTTGTAAGTAGTATCAGAAACTATTTTTTATTGTGTCAGGTGCTAAATAAAATGAAGTAGTTTGGTCAGAAGTACTTGATATCCACTTTTCAAAATCAGTTTGCTTTGTATTCACGTTAGTCAGTATTTAAATTTATTGGATCTTGTGTTTTGAATAATACTTTTAATTTTTTTCTTTTCTAGTTTCCTGCCTGTGATGGGTCACATAATAAACACAATGAATTAACAGGAGATAATGTGGGTCCACTAATATTGAAGAAGAAAGAAGTATAGGAGTGTTGGACTAATTACTTTAATTTCTGTGGTATAAAGTCATGTTACATTGTATTTTTCAATTATTTGTGTCTATAAGTGCCTTTGAATGGCATAGATGGTATCCTTAGTAGTCTTAATTAATATTGTTGATTTGATCATTATTTCTGCCATTTAGTTTTCTTACTACACTACTGTTTTGTATTTGATACTTTGTATATTCAGAAGAATCGTATTTATGTAGAACTAAAAACTGAACAAGCCTTTGTGTTATGAAATAATAGGTTCCTTTGTGTGTCAGCAATAAAATCATACTCCTGATCTTGATTTTTAACTGTGAGATTGTTAGTCCAAGATTTCTGTAATACTCCTAAAACTAATAGTGTTTTCAATATCTACATAACTCCTTTTATTTTCTGCAGTGTAAAAATACATATTTTTCAAACACTTCTGTACCTTAAAATTATTTTTCTTCAGCATTGTTTTCTTTATGGGAATAAGAAAATATGTTGTAGCCCAACATTGGTATCAATTCAATGCTCACATGACAGCAATGTGTTAGGTAACTGGGATAAAGATAGGTTCTTTGCTTTAAGAAGATTCTGGTGCAATATGAATCCCAATTGGAGAAAACTAGATGAACAGGATTTTTAAAAATCCAGATAACTTAAGGGGTGGTTATTTGCATTACAACAAGGATTCTTTGGTTTACAAAAGGATTCCTCTAAAGGAGGAATCTTTAAATAAAAATTTGCCTGACAATCATGAACTACTGAAGCTAGGTTATGAGGCAGGGTAGCATTGTTAAGACCTACTGCTGTCTTGACAAGGATCAGAGAGGAACATTTGAGGTTTTCTTTGTCTGGAACTTTGATTTTGTGGATAAAAATAAAAAATCTAAAATTATAATGTAAGACCGTGGAAAAATGATTCCATTCTGAATAAGTTAATAAAGACAAGAAAGTTTTTCAAATAAATATTTTGTTAGGAAAATTACAAAAAGGAACTATAATTTTATTAACTATAGGTTGTTTTGTTTCTATGTACTTTGGGTTATTTCTCATTTTAAAAGAGTATCTGGCAATAAATGGTGTTCAGTACATTCAGTTCGTTTAGTTTTATGTGAAGAAAATGCTACTGACCAAGCGTAAATTTTTTTTCAGGGGTGGGAATACGTTTATACTGAATCAGCCTTATTTGTTGTGACCAATGGTATATTTTACAAGCCTTTGTTATTTCTCCTCCCCATTCTACCCCCACAATTGAACATATATAAAAAGCAAAGAAAAGTAAAACGCTCATAACAAATATGCATAGTCCAAAAAAACAAATTCCCACTTTGGCTGTGTTGTTTACTTCTGCATTTTAAAAACATCACTTCTGCAACAGGAGGTGGGCAATGTGTTTCATTTGTGATCCTCTGGAATTATGGTTTATCATAGTACTGTACTGAAGTCTTTCAAACTTGCTTTTCTTTATAATGTCATTATATAAATTGTTCTCCTAGTTCTGTTTATGTCTTCCCAGTTTCCTCTGCAACTGTCAATTTATTTCATCATTCTTTTTTTTTTTTTGACTACATGATTGCCGGGTTTAATGTAACTGTTATTCCCATTTCTGCCCTGCAAAAATAAGAAAATGTTCCCATCAAAATTACACTGTAAAATATAAGCACAAAGTTTCTTGACATAGTTCTAGAGAAAATGTTGGTACCAGCTGCATTTAAAAACAAGTTTTAAAGTATAAAAAAAAAAATACAAGGACACATAATGAATGCATTTTAGAAGAGACTGCGAGTACAATGCTAAGAGTCTTTGGATCTTCCAAATACAGGCAGTTCCCAACAAACAAATGCCAGACATATGTACCTCTTTTATATACAAATGAACCCAGATGCATTAACACGTCTTCCTGTTAGCCAGTCTCATTCTCATGGGCTCCTTTCGTTCCCCACCCTTCCGGAGCCACTCTACACCCAGTTTTCTGGTCCACAGCAACAAGATACATGAGGCAACAAAGAAAAGAGAGTTAGAAGAAGGGAAATGTCCTACTGCTGCTGTTTAGAACTCTTCTGCTCATCTTTCCCACTGGATGCTCCACCCCTGTTGCTCACCACCCCATTCTACTGAAATTCCTGTTCTAGGCATCACCACTAGTGGCTTAGAGCTTCAGAATTCAGGTGGAAAAGGGGAATTGTCATTGCCAGTTATGTGGATAATGAGGTGTGTTTTTGCCACCATAAGCTAGCACCCAAGACATGTCTTCCCATAGACATACTGTTATAAATGCTGACCAAGTTCCATAGTTCAGCTACATTCTGAGTTAAGGAGACTTCTTCATCCAGTCTAAGAATTTAATCACCATTTACAACATTGTTTCTACATAAAAATTATTTCCTAGTTTCAAACAACTGACTTCCAAAATCTTAGAACACAGCCTGCTAGATTAGGTATTTTCTCTACTTTATAGGCTCATAGGAAAAGAGAAAGCTTATCTTGGCTATAAAGAAATCTCCAAAATCATCAGGGAATCCTGAAGAGGTAAAATCTTTGGCTAACAAATCCCATATGCCAGTTCCCCTTAATTTGCCAAATAAGAAGTGTTTAGCAGCAATTTCCTACGGGTACTTAAATATTGAGAACAATGGGTGCATATTAATACAAGGTGTCAGTTTGCTAAATATTGTAAATAGAACAATATTTCCAGAATTTGGTGCTCATCTTGCAGATATCCATCATGAAACCTCATCTGCTCTTCTTGCATGGTAATATCAGATGTTCCAAAATACAAGTGGTATGGAATTGTAAAATACGGTGTGATTTAGTCTGACTGAGGAACATTTCATGAAACGGATTGAAGGGACATGATTCAATAGTTAAATGTGATTAGAATAGCTTCAAGAAAATTGTAGTCTATTATCTCCACTTAAAAAATTCATGTTTTATCCACTGATATTAGGTCTAGTTAATTTTCAGATCTAACGTTTCCAGTTTCACTGGGCAGAAGATTGCAAAGATTCCCTGAAGTAAATAATCACTCATACAAGGAAATTTTCTGCTTACTTTTTAGTGTACTTATGTAATTAAGGTGTCATAAATGGTTCAAAGTCATCAGCAGTTTGTGAAACTGGTAGTTGAACAGCATCAAAAATGGCACTTTCAATATTGTCCAAAATGTTTATTTTTGAAGAATTAACGGTCCTCAGTGATTTTTTTCTCCTCCTCGTCAACTGATTACAGTCAAAAAAAAAAAAGTCTTAGAAAAATACGAATAACCAAAATATCAGAAAAAAATTGGATAGCTTAATACGGCCTTTAAAAAGTATTGGAAGGCCCCATCCCCTGTCCCCCATAGAAAAGAATTGTGGTTTGTGAAAGTAGTATGTTCATACCACTGGTGGACTTCAGAGGCAGTCAAAGGTATGTAAGGCTTATGAGAAGGGTGGGGAGATATCATTCACTTTCAAAGTAAGTTAATAAGAAATCCAACGTAATCTCTTATGTAAGGCAGGCCTTTTGATCTAAGATCAGGCCAAAGTCTTTTAGATGACAAGGTACAAACGACCCTGGAAGATCTGGATGGAAAAATCTGCTATCAGGAATAGGTCTAGGGCAACTAGGTGGCGCAGTGGATAGAGCACTGGCCCTGAAGTCAGGAGGACCTGAGTTCAAATCTGGCCTGAGACCAAACACTTCACATTTACTGGCTCTGTGACCCTAGTAGGCAAGTCACTTAACCCCAATTGCCTAAACAAAAAAAAAGTAGGTCTACAAACAAGGGAAAAGGGAAATTGGCTTGACCAATAAGCACTTACTTGCAAGAGGTCAAATCAAGTCCAATACCCCTTTCAAGTTGCAGCTTAGTAAGTCTTTCCCTGGTTTTCATGGAAAAGAGGTAAAAAAGCCTCATAGGATGTCTGCAAAACAACAGGCAAACTTAACAGAACACAAACAGACTCAACACCCATTTTCTCAGATATTAGTGCCCCTAGAAAAAGTAAAGGTCCTGTATCATCACTATAATTAACGGACTGTGAGCTAAATGATCCATTTCCCCTTCTGAAACACAAGTTGCATCCCTTTACCAAACAAGTGTAGGGGGGCATTCCTTGGACAGCTGCCCAACACATCATTCACATGGGTTTTTAGTCCCCTTGTGAAACTGTCAGTGGCTACTGCTGCAGAACCATCCCTAGATGTGTATTTGCCTAGCAAAACACAGATGTTCCTAGAACCCATGAAGATCCTACTCTTTCCTCATTTTCTTTCACCCCATCAAAGATCATATTTGGAACTAATTTTGGGATGCAAACCTGAGGAATTCCTTGTTACTCCCATAATATTTGTTTTCTGTGTCCCCTGGTCCTGTGTAGCCCTAGCTATTTCTAGAAGACAAGTTTGAGCAGTGAGCTACATGAAAATCTTCACAGAAATCATCAACCCCTCCCCTCTCCACCTCACTCCACCTTGTACTAATTAGAAGCTATAAACCTTGACCCTCTAACAGAAGAGTTTCTAGTCTGAAGATGCTGGTGTTAGTTTCCTTTAGTAAAAAGATGCTGGATTTGCCACCTGGTGGGTTGAGGACTTTGTTGTGTGAGCAAGGTCTAAGGCCCGGCCTGGGCTCATGGTTGTCAATCTTGAGTTTAGACTCAGTTTCCTTGTCTCGTTCCTCCTTTCCTTTCGCACATTTCTGATCATGTCCTTCTCTTGAAGACTGTATTCTCTGCAGCTCTGAGTGACAATTTTCTGTCCTCGTTTTCACATATGACAATATGATCCTTAGGCTTGTTTGGATGTGCTAAGGGCACAGTAATGGTGACTGGAGACTCAAACATTTCACTGGTCTTCCCACCAGGAGGATTCAAACAATATCGAGCCTGCACAGGAGTAGGCTCTTCAAAGATACCACTTCCTTTGCTTCCTGGAGGATTTGACCCTTTGGGTGTATTCTGAGGTTCCCCAGATGCTCCAAAGATATTAGATGCCATTCTGTTTGGTCTATTTGAAGGAATAACTTCTGGAGTTCCAAAGAGATTGCTTGAGTCTCCTCTGGGGGATTCATTAGCCTGGAGCTTGGCTTGCCACCCTCGATCTCCTACCCCTGGAACACGTGGCAGCTGAAGTGGTAGGGGCAGCAGCTGTGGCATTCTTCTAGCACTGCCTTATTTAATCATTCATGAGGTGTAATAATATTCAATTACATTCACATATCATAATTTAGCCAATGACATATATTTTTGAGAAAAAGTTGGGAATGTAGTCTGGTTGGAAACCAGTCAGTTGATTTAGTATCAATGGGTAATTTGCCATTACAGAGGAAAGTAGTGATCTGAGACAGCCTTTGCCCCCAATTCAGAGCATCCTTGCATCCTAAAGCTTGGGATCAGGCTCTTCCTGATGGTAGTCTATGATTTAAAATAGACACCTATAGAAAATGGAATCAAGGAGTGGTAACAGGTGATAAATGTGAAACATGGCATTGGCCTATATAATATTGATGTCAGAAGCACTGAGGCTCAGAATGACCTGAGCCTAGAAAGGAAACTTAAGACCAATTTTTTAAAAAAAATTGTCTTTTTTTTTTAGCTCATTTAGTGAAAACAGAGAGGATCCTCAACATTCTGTTTTCTCTGACAAGAAACAACAGAACAAAAATGGGAGTTGATAACCAAGATAAGTGAAAGAAACTAAGAAAGTACCTATAGCTGCCATTGAAGAGTTGAAGTCACCAGGCCCAGTTGAAATATATTCTTTTTTACTGAAGGAATTGGCATAAGTGATTGGTGAGCCATTGTTAATATATTTGAAAGATCATAGAAAATGGAAGAGGAGCTATAGAATTAGGGGGTGGGATGTTTTGCTGATTTTTTTTTAAGAGGATGGAGACTGCCAAATATAGACCAGTGAGCATGACTTCAATTTTTCAACAGTCCAGAATGTTTTATTAAATGTCTTAACCTAGAAATTGTAGAAAAGGAAGTGATCACAAGAGCCCTCATGATTTCATCAAGAACAGGATGTGCCAGATTAACTTTATTTCTTTTTTGACAAGTGACTAAGCTGGTAGATCAGGAGAATACTATAGATAATGTTAGATTTT